GATTTGAAATAAAAAAGTCAAGTTGAGCCTGATATATACTTTATCGTGTTTCGTGACTATCTAGCTTGGTCGGTTAAGAAGATATATACCCCCCCCCCTGCCCACACTTATTTCAACCTGTAAGATTGGAAAGTCTGGCTCGGGCAATAAAATCTCACTATCTCCACATCTGGTTTCTATCAAGCGCGTTCAGAGCTTCAGAGCTTAGGACAAACATATTGCTCTTCGGGACAGGAAATCTGGAGAGGGGGAGTAGAGGAACATGCCTTCTCAATATGGAAAGCTATATATTTTTGGTAATTCCCTTTGTAACATTCACAAACACTATAAAATACCCTTTCTCGAATTAATATCCTGTTCACACATTTCTGTAAATATCCTGAATTTAAATACTAATGTTAAATGTCAGAGACTTTAATTTATGACGAGAGAGAGAGAGAGAGGTTAAGACATTCTGTAAATGTCCAGAACTAGAGGAGAGTGTTTTAAACTAAACACATCTTGGCAATAACCCGTAGACAGTTAGCCTGCAGAGTGGTTTAGTTATTATGATCAACATAATTGTTTATATTTTTATTAATACCAAACAATTTTACTGTTTGCAGCTATACCTGTTTGGAACCTGTACTCTGCGCCATATAATAGCAATGGTGCAAAGTTTTGATATTGTAAAATCCTGCAATAAAATTTTCTTCAAATATCAAATTTTATATTATATGGTTGAATACAACATCAGTAATAGAACAGTAATAGAATTCAGTATAATGATACTGAATTGTTGTAAAGACATGTAGGAAGCAGGGTGACCATATATGCTCCGAATTTTGTCGGAGAGGGAAATTTCTCGAGTTTGTTCACTGCCCTGTGAAGCCATATTTTGTGGCCTGAGATGCCGTATCCGTTACTTGACCTGACCTGTCAAAAGCACGTCTGGGCGCTCTTTTCATCTTTCGATTCTTCCACATTAATCAAGATACGGAGTATAGATTGCAAGTGCCCGGGGGGGGGGGGGGGAGCATGAAGGGAATAAATAATTATAAGTAGTATCCTTGCGACACAAGGGAACTCTGCAATTTATATCTTTCAATTAATGCTGTGAAATAATAGCCAGCTAGTCCGTTGATCTCGCGAATCAACCAAATGCCCGTTAGTTGAGTTGCTTAACTGCAAGTAATTAATCCCCTCCCCTCCCCCGAACGTCATACTGGCAGGTTTCCAAATAAAGACTATACCGCAGAAAAAGTCTGGGGCCCAAAAGAGAGTCAGCCAAGGACACGTTTTGGGAACACGCTTGAACACGTCATGATGGACATTTACAGGTGTAGGACTAGAACAGAGCCTCTGGTAAACAGTTTAGAACCAAGGGACCGAACTTGATTTGAGGACCAGAAGACAGGCTTAACACACGTAGACATACAGTGACAACACCATAATGCAGAGTAATAGCATGATTACAAACAAACAGATTGACAAAACTGACGTACGCAGTGCTCACTATAAATACAAACAAGAAGAGTGACGACACCAACAAACACAGTAAACAAAATAAATTTATGTAGCCAAATGTTCACAAGCACAACGAAGCTCTGTTTTTGCTCCAAATTAAGTAAGATAAGTCCATATGACTGAAAATTGTCATTTATTAATGACGAAAACTAATAAGATACAAAGTTACAAAACTGGGGAGATAATCAAACACCCCCCAAACTATGTAAGTGCCATAATGTAAAAATAATAAAGTATGTTAATGAGTGTAACCAGGATTAATCAAGAAAAATATGAGAAATCACAACAGCTATAGGAGCAAAAAGTTAGCGCAAATGAAAATAAAAGGCTTAAATGACAAAAACTAGTAAGATACAAAGTTACAAAACTGGGGAGATAATGAAACATCCACCAAAGCCGGCCTAGGCTGAGAGCGAGCTACGCAACCCCTACCTTTTTAGGACGGGGACGTAGGTTTCCTCATTGCTCTGACAGCCCAAACATAGAGTTGTCTCTCTTGGCCTTAGTACTACCATATTTGCCCTGCATAGTACATTTACCTAACTATAGTTTTAAAATAATATATCTCACATGTATGATATATACCAATAAACAAATGATAACCATTTAATCTTAAATGACTAATAAATGTACCAAACGAGTTATAGCTAACTATGATAAATACAACCATGTTACATTTAGCCAATGCTCAAATCTGCTTCATTAGTCATGAAAAGAGAAGAAAAAATTATTAGGGGGGACAGGGTTGGGTTTAAATAATTTTACCAAAATTCACCTTAAAATTTTCATTCCTGAATAATGCACTACTTAATGTGGTTTTTGCTCCAAATTAAGTAAATTAAGTAAGATAAGTCCATATGACTGAAAATTGTCATTTATTAATGACGAAAACTAGTAAGATACAAAGTTACAAGACTGTGGAGAAAATCAAACATCCTCCAAACTATATAAGTGCCATAATATAAAAATAATAAAGTATGTTAATGAGTGTAACCAGAATTAATCAAGAAAAATATGAGAAATCACAACAGCTATAGGAGAAAAAAGTTAGCGCAAATGAAAATAAAAGGCCATATGATGTGTCATTTTGTTAATTGTGATGCAATAATAAATAATGCTTATAATAGCACAGTCAGTCAACACTAAATTTTAATCATGCACAACAGGTAACATGGTTAATAACAGGAGTGGATCTAGAGATATTTTCTGACAGTATTCCAAAGTATCTTTTTTATCCAATCTCCATTTTTGATGGTCTTCCAACAGAAAAATTAGATTCCCGTTAATTAATGTAAACCCAAAAGATGGTCTCCATATACCCCTTCAATAAGATTACAGTTTCAGGACCATGAGAGTTCAAATTCACATAATGAAAGTCCCAATATTTGAAAAATGATGACAATGCATAACATAATATTACATAATGTTTAAAGACATAAATACCAATACAACTGCATATATGGAAATACAGAAAATGTGCAGAGACTCAGGTGGATGGGAGTTAAAAGTCACATCTTAAAAATGCCAGTGTTTGAAAAAAAAAAAAAATTAAAGTCATAATAACTCTTCGTTTTGGCCAAAAATAGATTTTCCTGGAAAAAACGGCAATTTTCCCGTACTTACCAATGGTCAACGACCCCATTCCTGCATTCAAAGTTAATCCAGGGTTTTTTTCCTAAACGTACAAATTTTTGTTAAAATCTCTTAAGAGATTTTAACTGACGGAGCCCTCTCTCTGACATGGCAGTCATGCGATATCGAGCGATTGTTTCTGGTGACCTACTTAAAACCGCGGGAAAAGCAGACAACAACAACACTATATAACAATATAATAAGATTCATAAGATATATTCATCTCATTGCTCAAAATGCATTTATATCTACAATGTGTGCAATTCTGGGCTTTTCGTTATCTGACGCACTGTACAAAAACTCGCAACTTACGTCTGAGGGTTTCCCGCCAATGTTATTTTGGTCTCAAATGAACGCGAGAATCCGCGTGACACCTAAACGTCATTGGCAACGGATGCACTTGTCGACCGTGAACAAAGGCATCGAAAGCCCAAGTGACAAGCACAGATTTTAGTTTTACTACAATAACAGTCGTTTTAGTGGGAAAATGCAATAGAATATATTTCCAGGCGTTGTTTACAATGTATTTCTTGTTATTATTGCTTTAACATAAGAAAACTAGAAAAGCACTCAGAGAGCGCACACCTCCGCCAAGGCAGCAAAGTTTCCATCCAATGTGTGAGAAGAGTAAGTGACATGGTTTTCTTTTCGAGGTCACTATAGAGGCAGTGCCTAAAATAGGGTTTTGTTCAATTTTGATGCAATATTACACAAGTATCATGGATATTCAGAAAATGTGACTAGCCCATACAGTTCAGAGTCATACCTTGAAAATCCAAAAATGTAAACAAGAGATAACCCCAGCAGGCAAAGTTGCGTTGGATCAACGTTGAAAACAGGTTGATACATTGAATTGCCATTGAACTACCTAAATTCAACGTAAAATCAACGTTGATCCAGCCACGTCGAAACACCGTCATAATGTGACGTTGACTCAACGTTGTATTTTGGTCATTGACACAACCTTGCAGACATGGATTATATTTTTAAATATTAATAATTGAAAACGTGATACTTTGTTTATCAATACTGTAACTAAATTTATCAAAATAATAACAAAATGGTTTTAAAGTAAAAGTGACAATTGTTTTGTGTCTTAGTGCACTAGTGAATTTTCTTCACTTGTTATTCAGAAATACATTCCAATAAACTGAATTCCTTGCAAGGTCAGCTAACACTAGGATGAATAAGTTGCTGTAAATGTGATGGAGTGAATTAATAAAGTTAACAGTTCTTGGTAACCTGTTATACATAGACAGGTTGAGGTGACTGCCCAGCAGGCATAGTTGCGTTGGATCAACGTTGAAAACAGGTTGATACATTGAATTGCCATTGAACTACCTAAATTCAACGTAAAATCAACGTTGATCCAGCCACGTCGAAACACCGTCATAATGTGACGTTGAATCAACGTTGTATTTTGGTCAATGACACAACCTTGCAGTTATGGATTGTAATTTAAAATATTAATAATTGAAAACGTGATACTTTGTTTATCAATACTGTAACTAAATTTATCAAAATAATAACAAAATGGTTTTAAAGTAAAAGTGACAGTTGTTTTGTGTCATTAGTTAAATAGTGAATTTTCTTCACTTGTTATTCAGAAATACATTCCAATAAACTGAATTCCTTGCAAGGTCAGCTAACACTAGGATGAATAAGTTGCTGTAAATGTGATGGATTTAACAGTTCTTGGTAACTTGTNATCGTGTTATCGGTAAAAGTGCACGGCGACGGCGACGACAGACGCAGATGGATTCATTAACCATTCATTAACCATTCACCATGGATTCATTAACCATTGGTAAGTATGGGAAAATTTTAGTTTACTTCAGGAAAATTAATTTTTTGGCGAAGAGTTATTATCCCTTTAATATTACATGAAAATATAAAAATCTTACCCTCATCCAAAACATGCACCTTGGCTTTATATCTGATCTTTCTAAGCATTTTGGGGTCATCCAAAAAATCACGTGGCTTTCCTGCCTTCAGATATTTTTTTACCATCAACATGGTCTCCCTGAACTCGACATATTTCTCCATACTGAAAATAAAAGCAACAGATAAATTAAGCTTAATAGTTGACATTCCCTCATGTTACAATTCAAAATATTTGATGCCATTTTCAGTCAAATAAAGTAGTCAAAGGGATATTGAAAAAACATGGTTCACATATCACGAGAATAAACTTTAAGTGACAGTAAGGGCAAAACTTTCTTTATTGCAACTTGTCAGCACTGCCATGTTGCAAAATGATATATAGAAAAAAGTTGTGCTTGCTAAAAATATGTATTTACAGTCCCGAAAATAGCAGTTGATGACAAATACTATGGTTATTTCATTTTTGCATCCCTTTTTGTTGAACAGAAAAGGGAAAGGAATTTAAAAATTTCTACTCGAGTCAACCAACAAAACACATAACTGATGAAACTGTTCAACCTTATGTACATGGGGTGTATACTATACCTTGAAGACATCCTTCTCTCTCTGGTAGCTCGTGGCTAAGTGAGGGGTCAGGGTGGATCCAATNAAAAAACAGCATAACTACTAAAATAGTGGCCCGATCATGCCGATTTTCGAACTTGATCTGCGTTTTAGTAAGACTGATTACTCCTGTGAGTTTCATGACAACAGGCCTATTGGTTTTCCTTGAAATGTGTTAACAGTGTTGCATATATGCTAAAAAGTGAAAAAAAAACACCATAAATTCTACAATAATGGCCCGATCATGCTGATTTTCGAACTTGACCTGCGTTTTATGAATATTAGTCAGCTCTGTAAATATAAAGCCAAAAAGTAAAACTGTCTTCCACTTATGGTGTTAACGCTGAAAGTGCACGGCGACGGCGACGGCGACAGCGACGGCGACATGATCGGCGACGACAGACGCAGGTGATGGCAATATGTACAGACACATCTGTGTCTGTACATAAAAAGTTGTGCTTGCTAAAAATATGTATTTACAGTCCCGAAAATAGCAGTTGATGACAAATACTATGGTTATTTCATTTTTGCATCCCTTTTTGTTGAACAGAAAAGGGAAAGGAATTTAAAAATTTCTACTCGAGTCAACCAACAAAACACATAACTGATGAAACTGTTCAACCTTATGTACATGGGGTGTATACTATACCTTGAAGACATCCTTCTCTCTCTGGTAGCTCGTGGCTAAGTGAGGGGTCAGGGTGGATCCAATCTTTTTGTAGTGCCCCAGGTGTCAAAGTCAAGCTGGAAATGTCAGACCCAGACTTGGAAGAGCTTGAAGCAAAATGAAGACACCTATTATCTTTCACACCTTTAACGGAGTCATGGACATTGGCTGACTAATTACAGGTGCACTGATTGGGACTAATTACAGTAGTATTGATAAAATCTCAGTTGTTACAAGGAGCAAGCAGCTTGAACTTTAAAAGCAAATCTGACAAGTCAAGCTGAAAATGTCAGAAAGAGACTTGGAAGAAGTTTGAGTAAAATTAAGATCCCAGTAGATGCATATCTTTCACACACTTAACAGCGTCATCGACATTGGCTGACTAATTACAGGTGCACTGATTGGGACTAATTACAGTAGTATTGATAAAATCTCAGTTGTTACTAGGAGCAAGCAGCTTGAACTTTAAAAGCAAATCTGACAAGTCAAGCTGAAAATGTCAGAAACAGACTTGGAAGAAGTTTGAGTAAAATTAAGATCTCAGTAGATGGATATAATATATTTTTTACACTTGAGTCATGGACATTGGCTGACTTATTACAAGTGAACTGAACAGTAGTAATTACAGTTGTATTGATAAAGTTTGTGTTCATTTAGTAGAATTCTGTGACATGACTGGTAATGGGAAATTAAAAAAATAGGTCATTAAGTTTGATCATGAAATTGGTAAATTTATAAGCAGACTTAAAATCATCCACCTCAATGGGTTTGGTAGTCAAAACAATTTTAAACTTTTTAAAAATTAATTTTAAACATCTGAGCTCCCCCATTTCTTTCACCATTTATTGGCAATTTCTAACTCTGGTGGCTCCTACTTTGTTATTTATATATTAAAATTGTACTGCAATTGTTGTACCCATATTTCATACTGACCTTCCCATTTTTCCTGCCATTATTTCCGTTTATTGAAATGCTTGAAAAATATAAAAACAATTTATTTGGAATAAATAAATGCACAAATACAGAAAAGGTCTTGTGGATTTCGAAAACAATTTCATCTTTAACATTTTTTTCAAAATGTGATATGTACTAGTTATCATTAACTGCTATCAAGTGATAAATTATAGCATAGCTGGGATATAACTTTTACAGTCTTAAAACAAGGTATAACTTATTAAAATATATTGTAACACGACCAAGGTAAGTTCTATACTAACCTTCTAGCTATTTTCTTCTGCCAATCAATCTGAACAATGAAATAAAATAAATGTGTTAAAGCTTTATGATATAAAAAAACTAACTTGAATGCATCGACCTTCTCACTTTGGACGTGTAACACACCTGTGAACATACCTAACATTACATAATGAACATTCATACGAGTCTTACGACGACTTTATGCAAACGCAGTCACATTCACGACACTGACAAAGTTGACTTACAGCACGTAGCTACACATGTATTTCCAACATTTCCCCGTAGAGGAAGTTATATTATTGTCAAACACACACTTTCTCTCGACGACAATTACTGAACTCTAAACTGAAAGAACATTGTAGTGTGAAAACATTTATACTACGAGTCTTACTACAACTTCATCACAGAGCAAAACAGTTCAGTCACGATCACAATCTCAGTAATAAGAGCTGTGTCACACGCTTCCTTTGGTGTTTATATAACACTTTTCCAACATTCCTCCGTGGAGTTTATTATAGGATTATCAAATACATACTCTCTCATGGCAAAAACCACTGAATTACGAATTGAAAGGTCAATAGTTCCAAACATACCTACGACGATACCGTCATACCGGAAGTCCCTTCTTTCAATCTACCCTCAATGCGCATGTGCAGAACGGTTTCGTCACGGCACGGGTCTATCACGCCACCGGCGTGTGAACACCGACCACTGTTGACGTGACTTTGACATTGTTGACACAGTCTCGTTTTGATAACGCTCTAGTTAAAAGGATACAGATACAGATTCTTTATTGACAAACACCTTCACATAAAGGTACAATCAATTACAATACGATACTAGTGGCTAGGACATAGAACAGACAAATAAATAGATAAATAAATATATATATATATACATATAGATTAGCAATTGTTGAAATCAGTGACTATACACATGTATACGAATGTCGCATTCCATAATCAATTTACCAGGTTTGATCTACACGCCCAGTCTCTGCTGACAGCGCATAACGGGTCTCACACTGGTACTATGATCTGGTTTGGACATGCGCAGAAAGACTTACTCTCTTCTCCATGCATTTCTGTACAAATATGAGGAGGGGCGTAATCACATCCATTTCTTTTGTATTCATGATGTGTATAAACATATCCGGGGGAGAGAGGGCATTAGTATTACATAGGAAACTTATATTTTCGTAGAAAGCCGCCCGTAGTTCCTTATAGGCCTCGCATTTCAGAATAAAATGCACTTCATCTTCAACCTCTCCGGAATTACAGATTTGACATAATCTTAGATGGGGCGGGGTTGGGGGTTTACTGTACCTCCCTGTGTTGAAACCAATTATTATTATTATTATTATTATTATTATTATTATTATTATTATTATTTACTATTATTTAATAGCTACAGGATTATTTCCAGGAGACGAAATAGTTTTGTAAAGTTTACTTTGTTATTGTCTTTGTACTTATATTTTGTTTATTTTTTTCTTATTAAAGTTTACCGCTATTACATCTCAACAAGACGTGTTGTGTTGTATGGTAGGCTGTCTGATGACGATAGTCAACGGTCAGAACACTCCCCTTCTCAATATGGAGTGAGTGAGCGCTGATTCTTAATTAGTTTGCAGAATGTAGCCCTCCGTGCTTTATCAAAGGTCAGCACATAATTTTCGGTCTTAAAATCCTTCTTAAATTTTGTATATGTTCTAAGTTTGCTACTTTCCTTAATTGCCTCCCCCNAGGCTGTCTGATGACGATAGTCAACGGTCAGAACAGTAAAAAGAAGTGAACCACTGCCCCAGACGTGAGCAAGATTTCTACAGACCCAGCAAACGTGGCCCTTCCCCCCAGCAACCCCTCAGATAACGATGTGTCTGACGACGAATCGCAGCCCATGGGAGATGTTTCAGCGCCAGCCAGTGAACCCACACAGACTGCAGAACAGACCGACATGAGCAGAGAAAAGAGACATTCAAAATTAACTGAAAAAGCTGAAGCTGCATATATGGACTCGAAACAGCAATTAGAAAGTAAATTGGATAAGGTTTGGCAGTTAGTTAGAGATCAGATAGTTAGTTTGCAAGAATGCGATAATGAAGTAGTAGTTATTCAAAATAGTATGTCTCTCTTAAGAGCTCAGTTTGCTAAATATTGTATAGTACAAGAAGAAATTAGTTCTCTGCACATTAGAGCCAATACGGCTATTAGTTTACGGGAACAAGGGAAGTTGATGAACATTGGTCAGCACCGTGAGGAATTTGTCCAAAAGACCTTGAGTGAAGCAAGAACTAGGTGCCAAGAGTTGACAGAGACCTCTTCCATTACATCCTCAAGGAAATCGGGGTCATCACTAACCATCTCCTCCGTCAGCAGCGCAAGGAGAGCCCGACTAGAAAAGGAAGCTACAAAGCTGGAGGAGGAAAGAAGAAAAATTGAGGCCACAGCAAGAAGACAGCTAGAAGAGGTGGAAATTGAAGCAAAACGTCAGAAAGAGAAGGCTCGAGTCCTAGAGAGGAAGGCAGCGGAAGAGGCAGAAAACTCCCGCAAGCGCGCCGACCTGAGGATAGACCTTGACACGCTGGCTGAACCCTGTAATGACGCTGATAGTCAGTCAGTACTATCAGCTCTTCCACAGACCTCTAAAGCTGACATGGTGATGGAATTCGTCCGTTACCAAGATGAAGAGAAGTTGGAAAAGTCTGAAGACACCCAGGACTCATCACCGGCAGGCAATCACGCCATTCAAGGTTGGGTCCAGCACTTCTTGAAAAGGGACTTGGTGTCCAACGGCCTCGAGAAATTTGATGATACTCCAGAGAATTTTCTCTCTTGGCGGCTGTCATTTAAAAACGTAGTGAATGGAGCGCAACTTTCCCCGAGAGAAGAGCTTGATCTCCTGGTGAAGTGGAGTGGAACACAATCTGCAGAACTGGTCAAGAAAATACGGGCAGTACACGTCAACCGCCCAAGTGTTGGACTCAAAACGGTGTGGGAGCGATTAGAAGAAAACTTTGGCAAGCCAGAAGTCATCTCCATCTCCCTGATATCAAAGGTGCGCGACACCAGAAAAATGGGCAAGACTGATCACCGTGCCCTTAGAGATTTCGGGGATGCCCTAGCCATGCTAGAGTACGCCAAAGAAGACAGCAGCCTCCCAGGGTTAGAGTATTTAGATACGTTCATGGGCATCAATCCGCTTGTGGACAAGCTTCCAGACGATCTGCAGGACAAATGGAGATCCAGAGCCCACCGTTATAAGCAAACTAACGGGAAGTTTCCACCTTTCATGGTCTTTTCTGAATTTGTTAGAAAGCATGCCTTAGAAAGATGCGATCGTAGTTTTTCAGTGAGGCTTACAGAGCAGCCTGAGACTAAGTTTCCTTCCAGGATGCAAAGAATGCACAGTAAACAAAACGTTAATGTTCACAAAACAGATGTGACAAAAACCGTTCGATGTCCAGTCCACAAACAGGGGAACCATTCTGCGGACAAGTGCCGAGTGCTGTTATCCAAACTGCCCAACGAAAGAAGGGAAATGGTGAAGAAGTCAGGTTTTTGCTTACGTTGTATCGCCACAACGTCCCACAGGGCCAGAGATTGCAGGGTTGAAGTGAAATGTGGCAAGTGCGGCAGTGAACGGCACCCAGAGATTCTTCACATCGAGATGAAGAAGACCACAACACCTGAAGTACGAGCCCATGGCGGGGAGAATGTAGAAGAAGTGCGTACTTCGTGCACAGAAGTATGTGGCTCTAGTGTGGAGTCAAAATCATGTGCCAAGATCTGCTTGGTCAACATTTATCACAAAGACAGACCCTCAACAGTAGTACGGGCGTATGTAGTAATGGACGACCAGAGTAATCGGTCTCTGGCCAAGTCGGAGTTATTTCAACAGTTGGGCGTCGACACAGAACTAGTCCCCTTCTCCTTGTCTACGTGTTCCGGTAAGTCTCAGATTGTCGGCAGGCGAGCAGAACACCTTGTAGTGGAAGCGATCAACGGGTCGACAAAGCTATGTTTACTGACTGTTTTGGAGTGCAACGACATACCTGACAATAGGAATGAAATACCAGTTCCAGGGGTAGCAGCACACCATGCCCATCTGCGACATCTAAAAGCTCAGATTCCAGAGATAGATCCACAGGCCGATATTTTACTATTAATTGGGCGAGATGTGCCACAGGCCCACAAGGTAAGGGAGTCAAGGAACGGGCCTAATGACGCACCATGGGCTCAGCGCCTGGATCTGGGATGGTCATCCTTGGAGAAGCATGTACAGGGAACGTCCATCGCACTCCCCAGGTCAGCACTTTTAGAACCAATATTATGGAAAACGGCAGACCAACTCTATTTGAGCCGTGCACGCGACGGATGACCATTACAGAGAGATATGAAGGCCGTTTCAGGGACAATATTGGGAAAGGAATTTACGTTCGCACTGATGATGACAATATGAAGGGGCCCAGCATTGAAGACAGGGAATTTATGGAGTTGATGAAAACAGAAATGCAGCGAGAGGAGTCAGGCCATTTGATCGCCCCTTTGCCATTCAAACATGACAGGAAGATCCTACCGAATAACAAGGAGAGGGTATACCAAAGGCTAAGGTCACTCTCCAAGAGCCTTAGGAAAAATCAGGAGTTAAAAGATCATTACGTCACATTTATGAGCACAATGTTAGAGAAAGGCCACGCAGAACCAGCGCCCCCTCTGAGACCCGGCCAAGAAGCGTGGTACCTGCCGCATTTTGGGGTTTACCACGCAAAGAAACCCGGAAAGATAAGAGTCGTTTTTGATTCCAGTGACACGTTCAATGGAACCTCCCTCAATGATGTTCTCCTTACGGGGCCTGACCTTCTAAACAACCTATTAGGAGTGCTTCTCAGATTCAGGTCGGATTTGGTTGCATGTATGGCAGACATAGAACAGATGTTTTATTCATTTCATGTTAAAGAAGAACACAGAGACTTCTTGCGGTTCCTTTGGTTTGAGAACAATGATCCAGAGGGAAAGGTTGAGGAGTATAGAATGAAAGTGCATATCTTCGGGAACAGTCCCTCACCTGCTGTGGCGACATTCGGCCTTAGGAAGACTGCCCAAGAAGGACAACAGAAATACGGAAAGGATGCAAGACAGTTCGTAGAGAATGACTTTTACTGTGATGACGGTCTGCTAGCTGTGCCAACTGTAGATAAAGCAATTGACATCCTTAAGCAGACGAAGGACATGCTAGCAGTTTCTAATCTACGATTGCACAAAATTGCTTCCAATTTCAGGGAAGTTGTGGAAGCATTTCCCGCATCTGAACGGGCAGCTGAAATATGTGATCTCAACCTAGATTTGGATGAAGCTCCACTCCAGAGGTCCCTTGGTATCCTTTGGAATTTACAGAGAGATACGTTTACTTTTCAGGTTACCTTGGACGAAAAACCTTTCACTAAAAGAGGTGTTTTGTCGGCCATTAATAGCATTTATGATCCTTTAGGCTTTGTACAACCGGTAGTGATAGGAGGAAAAGTTCTTCTCAGGCAAATGACACAAAACCAGGAGATTGGTTGGGACGACCGACTGCCGGATCACCTAGCCCCAGCATGGCACTTGTGGCGTCAATCCCTTCTTGCACTCGCTGAAATAGAAGTTCCACGTGCATATACTCCAATCCCGTCAACAGAAGCTTCCAGAAGAGAACTACATGTATTCTCAGATGCCTCTCAACAAGCTATTGCAGCCGTAGCATATCTGAAGGTGATCGACAACCAAGGCAACATTCATGTGAGCTTCCTCATGGGCAAAGCCAAGCTTGCTCCAAAGCATGCCACAAGCATTCCCCGCTTAGAACTGAACTCTGCTGTGCTCGCCGTTGAATTGAGAGATGTTATTACAAGTGAAATCCAGCTAGAAATCCATGAACAAAGGTTTTACTCAGACAGTCGAGTGGTTTTAGGCTATCTAACCAATCGAACCAAACGGTTTTACGTGTATGTGGCTAACAGAGTAGAGCGCATCTTAAGATCCACGTCTTCAGAACAGTGGACTTATGTGCCGACCAACGTTAATCCTGCAGACCATGCCACAAGACCTGTGACAGCAGAAGGCTTACCTGCAACATCATGGTTGCAAGGCCCAGGTTTTCTCAAGTCTACGCCAGAGCTTGACCTGACAGTGAACTCGGACAAAATGTTTCTTGTCTCTGATGATGATGTGGAGGTGAGACCAGACACGAAAGTATATGTTACTTCGGTACTCTCTGGCAGGTTACCTATGCATCTGCACTTTACCCGTTTCTCCAGTTGGAACACCCTTGTAAGGTCTATTGCACGCTTGATCCGCGTAGTCAGATGTTTGAAGGCTACAAGATGCCGAACTCGAGGCGTTTGGCATGTCTGTCCCATAAAAGTACAAGATGTGAAAGCAGCGGAGAAGATGATACTACATAACGCTCAGAAAGAGTCATATTCCAAAGAAATATGTGTCCTAAAGCAAGGTCATACCCTGCCCAGCGCCAGCTCCATTGCGTCACTAAACCCTTTCCTGGATGATGATCAACTCTTAAGAGTTGGGGGACGTCTAAAGCATGCTGATGTATCTGACAAGGAGAAGAACCCTTTTGTAGTCCCTGGGGATTCACACGTTTCTACTCTTCTCATTCGGCACCACCATGAAAGAGTTCAGCATCAAGGCAGGCATTTCACAGAAGGAGCTGTGAGAAACGCTGGTCTTTGGATAATTGGTGCTAAAAGAAAAATCGGCAGCCTCATCCATAAGTGTGTAACATGCAGGAAGCTGCGAGGAAAATTTGAACAGCAACAAATGGCCGACTTGCCGTCGGAAAGGCTTGAGCAGCAGCCCCCTTTCACAAATGTCGGCGTCGATGTATTTGGTCCATGGGAAGTTGTAACCAGACGGACACGTGGAGGGAGCGCCAACAGCAAAAGATGGGCAGTACTTTTTACCTGTTTCTCAACCAGAGCCGTCCATATAGAGGTAATAGAATCCATGAGTGCCTCTTGCTTTATAAACGCTCTCAGAAGATTTTTTGCTATAAGGGGACCAGCAAAGATGATAAGATCCGACCGTGGGACAAACTTCGTGGGAGCCGCGAAAGAAATGGAATATTATCTTCGGGTCCATGGATGCAGATGGGAGTTTAATCCTCCACACGCGTCCCACATGGGAGGTTCCTGGGAAAGAATGATTGGTTTAGCAAGACGAATCCTCAACTCTATGTTATCGCAACCAGGAAAATCCAACCTAACTCATGAGATCCTCACCACCCTCATGGCTGAGGTTTCTGCTATTATAAACGCCAGACCTTTGGTGCCAATCACAACGGATCCTGAGGCTCCAATCATGCTAACACCATCTATGCTTTTGAATCAGAAGATATGCGAAGGAGACGATATGGGAGACTTCTCAGATGTCGTCTTGTACAGGCAGCAATGGAAGAGGGTCCAAGCGCTTGCAGATCAATTCTGGGCAAGGTGGAGAAAAGAATACCTGGTCACTTTACAGCCCAGAAAAAAGTGGAACCGCCCGTCCCCAAACCTCAAGTTAGGAGACGTAGTACTGATAAAAGATAACTCAACCAAAAGAAACCAGTGGCCCATGGGCATAGTCATTAACACCTTCCCCAGTCAGGATGGGTTAGTAAGGAGAGTAGAGGTCAAGACAGGCCATGGTTCTCGTAAATATCTTAGGCCTGTAACAGATATTGTAGTTATTGTAGAAGCCCAAGTGGAAATTGAGGAGTGATATCTCTTAGATATCAGACGGGGAGTGTGTTGAAACCAATTATTATTGTTATTATTATTATTTACTATTGTTTAATAGCAACAGGATTATTCCTAGGAGAATGTTAAGTACTCTATGTATAGATTTGGAGACCCCTCTCTGTGAATTTGTAGCCCTCTCACTTCGCTAGCCTCCTAGCGCTGTCTCTGTATTGGGGTTAGATTATTGTATAACGGGTAGTGGCGCGTTCAATCTGGTGAGGGGTGTCGGCCGGACCCCATTGGTCAGTAGCCCCCATGTTACGGGGATAAGTGGCGTGATCGATCTGGTGAGGGGTGTTGGCTGGATGTTATTGGCCAGAAACTCTGATATTAGTTAGTTACTCTTAGAACGATCTTCATTCACTCACACGATACTCAGAAGATACACGCCGTTCTAGTTCTTCAGTAGGAAGACGCAACTCCGTCAACCGTAGGAGTTAAAGTAAGCGCTTTTATTTTATTAATATGTTAGTGAGATTATAGTGAGTTTTAAGGTTGTTTTAATGCTAAGTTATATGATTTAGTTCGTAAACATACCTTAAATTGCTGCCGCGACGATCTTTGATAGCGTTCAGTGTCATTTAATGATACAGGTTTACTTAGGGTGATTTCGTGTTTGTTTTCGTTTGCGCAATGTGTCACTACAATTTATCTGGCGTATTTCATTGTATAAACCCTCTGTAAAAGCTATATTCGATCGTAGAACGGCTATTTAGCTTAGTGCAAACTTACTGTATCAGCGTTGTTATTCAAGTGATATCGTGTAGAGTTTAGCGTGTCAGCGAATTTATTGTTGGTTCCCGTTTTCAGGTCATTGCGAATCTGTAGCACGTTCTCAGTACTGCTTCGCACGTTTTAGCCGGTGACACCACTTCTTGTAAGAATTTATCTTTGTTTATCTAGTACGGTAAATGTTGTTGAATTTAGTACAGATACATGTACGTTGTATTGTGCATTGGTATTGAAATTAGGCTCTAGTACGAAAAACGATCTTTAAAATTGCTCACTTTTATTACCGTACCTACCGTTAAGTTTTGTAGAGCCTTCTTACTATCGTCACAACTGTGTTACCGTAATTGCCCTTTAATTTTTAGACGAAATAGTTTTGTAAAGTTTACTTTGTTATTGTCTTTGTACTTATATTTTGTTTATTTTTTCTTATTAAAGTTTACCGCTATTACATCTCAACAAGACGTGTTGTGTTGTATGGTAGGCTGTCTGATGACGATAGTCAACGGTCAGAACAGTTTTATATATATATATATATATATATATATATATATATATATATATATATATATAAACCTTGGAAATTTTAACTTAAAGGCCATACTTTTAAACCCTACCCTCAGGTCATTTTAAAGTCTTTTCATGCAAGAATGTTGTCTAAAAACTGGGGTTGATACATTGTTGTTATCTGACGTTGATCCAACTTTCAAATCCAACATTTATCCAACGTCTTATCAACGTTATGGTTCAACATTGTTTCAATGTTAAAACAACATGATTTGCCCGCTGGGAACACTAACAAACACAGTAAACAAAATAAATTTAAAAAACACAATCACAATATAGACATACACAGTGATCAGAATAAATTTTGAAATGTACAGTGACAACAGTAACGTGCACCGTAATGATAATGAACACAAGTAAAAAGAGTAAAAAGCATCATAATATGTACAAACACATTCAGTTACAATACAAAATCGACACAGCAAACAGAATATAAACAGACACATATCTGTAGACATATAGTGAACAACATTATCATGCAGAGTAATAGTAATGATTATAGCAAATACACTGACAAAACTAACATACACAGTGCTCATAATAAATACAAACACCAACAGTAACGACACAAGCACACGCAGTGATGACATAAAATGCAAATGCAAATACTAACAAAACAAACATGCACAGTAATAACAATGATTATAAACAAATAGAAAGACAGACAGACTTAAACAGTGATCAGAATTATATGCAGACAAAAACAGTAACAACACAAACATACACAGTGATCACAGAAAATACAAATGCAAATACTAAATAAACAAACATGCACAGTAATAATCATGATTATAAACAAATAGAAAGACAAACAGACTTAAACAGTGATCAGAATTATATGCAGACAAAAACAGTAACAACACAAACATACACAGCGCTCAAAATAAATATTATCATATAAGGTGACAGTAGTAAAGTGCATCCTAATGACAATGAACACAAGGAAAAATTTAGAGAGAAAGCCATACACAGTCATCACAATATGTAAAAACACATTCAGTAACAATACAGAATAGACACAGCAAACAGAATATAAACAGACACATAGAGATACATAAGATAAACAAACACACAGGGATACAGTGACAACACAATCATGCAGAGTAATAGTAAATATTACAAACAAATAGAGTGACAAAACTGACATACATAGTGCTCATAATAAATACAAACACAAATAGTGACAACACAAACATGCACAGTAATCAAAATAAATAAAAACAAACAGTCAAAATACAGACATACACAGTGATCAGAATAAATTTTGACATCTACAGTGACAAGAGTAACGTTCACCGAGGTTAGCGTATTATAAGATGGGCTAGGGGATTTTGCCAATAGAGGGGTTTGTGTGAGAACTACTGTAGTTATTTTTCATATCACTCGGTGCGCTGTATTCCCACTCACAATATGATGATGTAGACGTATGACCCTTTTAAGCTCAAGAAGTAGGGATAAACTTACAGTTAATAGCAATGAATTTATTTTGTTTAGGTGTTATCGTGTGTGTGTGTGTGTGTGTGTGTGTGTGTGTGTGTGTGTTGTTTTAAGGAATCCCACATGTAATATGAGAACCGAATAACTGAAATGAGTTAAAACAGAGTTAGAAGGAGCAGATTTGTGCGCTTTATAAATTAACGTTATCATTTATAAGCATTTTCACATGATTATTTTAAAATGAATGTTTGATAAAGATAACATGTTTTGGGGTATTGACTTTAGCAACTGAGGAAGGGGGAGGGGGCTCATCACACTGAGCTGGCACAATGCCTACATACGTGTATATGCATGTAATTAATTTTAATTTATTAGTTTCCACATTTAATATTAATGGGCAAAACAATCCACATCATTATATATATATTATAAAATGTATATTATATTATTTATAAATGGGCAAAACAATCCGCACAATCATAATATAGGCCTACATGTTACATTAACCAAGTGTATAGGCTACAAGTTGGGAATTAACGATGTTGTGAGGGGAATAGTATGAGTACCCCCTCCCTCTCTCCCCCGTAAATACTCTTTAGTAGTTGAAATTGTCAGTTACAGCTATGAACTTACATAATCTGAAGATACATGAAATTAAATGGATTAATTACACTTTATTAATCGACTTCAAATGAATAACATGCAGTGGCAGATTTAGGACCAGGTGTGTGTTGGGTCCTGACCCCCCCCCCCCCCCCCCCTTTGATGTCTGTAAAAAATAACATTATGTCGAGAAAAGTGGGAACAGTGTGGGTTGATTTGTCCCATATATAGTTTATAATGGTAAACCTGTTAATTGTTTCTTGGCATCGATTTGTATATTTGATGCTAGCCCAGGAAGCCAAAAAGATATAACTGTTATTCCGCTAATTTATTGTCCACCAACGAAGTAGAATTTAACAATTTAATTGACCCATTCTTACCAAGACAAATGCTCAAAGCAAAATTATAGTGGTATGCTCAGATGCTTTATTTACTACTTTTAAAATGTACATGTAGTTCTGTCTCATTTTTGTACTAGGTACCTAGCAATCTCTTAGGACGTATAAAATAAATGTTTAATCAAAATCAGGGATTCGATATGAAAGACATTTATAGTGGTGTAAAATACCACTTTGGGTATTTTATAATTGATATAAATAATTAATTAAAATAATATTCATATCCTTAGATAAGCTTAGAAGGGGGCAGTCGATAGACATTCGGGAATGATCGTGACCGGTGCACATGGCACGAGATAAAATTTAGAAATGCCTTTGAAGGCTAGGGCGGATAATGATGATCCAGGAAACACGGTGACTGAGTTGGGGCAAAGCCTGAGACAAAAGGACTGCGCTCAGTCAAGTGTTATTTCTTCCTGGTTATTAAAATTCCTGAATGATCTACTATAAAGGCTGCCCTGTTTTAAGGTGAATTCATATCGTATTTTGGCTCTGGCGTTATCATTATACATTTTGGACTGACAGTTACTATGTAGAAGAAACCTCTGTATATTTTCCAAAAGACAGTATTAAATTTCCACTTGCGTCATATGAGAATCTTGTTCATTTTATTAGATCAGCTGGGCGCACAACACTAGGGCCAAGAACCAGCGCGTTATCTAACATGACATTATTTTAACGTAAAGTCTGACTGACGAAGTCTGAGACTTAACAATTTGTTGTAGATGGATATTTTTCTTTTGTTTAAACACTCCTTTTTGTTAATTCAATTTTGTTTCGGTGTTTTTTCCTGTTAGGAATCCTGTAACTTACATTGTAGAAGTGAATAATTTGTTCACTGGGTGCTGTTTTACTGAGCCACACATATATAATCCACCGAGCTTAAACCTGTGAAACATTGGGTTGGGAGTTTTGCACATGCATGCCCACTATTAAGCAATGTTGTTGGTTACCAAATAATAGCAAAAACTAAGAAAGTGTAGTCCCCCCAAAAAAAATACAAACAAAAATATATTTATTCACATAAGTCTTATAATATTTTTAGCATAAATATGGGCGTATTCCCAGACATTTAGATTGATCTATCCCCGTGGGGAGTCTCACTAGATTACTGTCAGATAATCCGGCTTAAATGTCCGTCCCGCCTACTACAAGCTGTAAGGGGGTAATTAACTTTCGTGCCCACTCGGCTGACAGCTATTTAGCGGGAGTTAGGTTGATCTAGTTTGGATCGATCTAATCTCTGGGAATGGGGTCTATGTCACCCACAGAAAAAGTAGTTTGAAAAAAAAAGAAAAAAAGAAAAAGATACAGTTTATAAAGGAAGTTAAAATAAATCTCCATCATGGGATATATTACACACACACACACACACACACACACACACACACATATATTAGATTTATATTTTACATTGAATACATTGTAAACAACTCGGACAAATATAATAAATTCTATTTTACCACCAAAATGGTGGTTCTTGCAATTATTCTAGAATCTGTGCTTGCCACTGAACCATATGTGACCTTCAATCTTCACAGATGATTAACCTCTGATAATCTCTTAAGAGATGGGGGAAACACTCTAAAATTATTAGTACCACCAGAATGTACGCTGGCAATACTCATGATTTTAGTGACACTCGTTTGAATGCGTCCTTGTCATAATTTTTGAAAATTCAATGCTAAATATCTCTCAAACCGAAGGAATTTTGGGAAAATTTACTATAAAAGTCTAACCAAAAGTCATGTGGAGATTCCACATATGCCCTTGGATTTGACTTTCGCCCTTTATTTCAAGGTCAAACAGGCTCTTAGGTGTGTGTACTGCAGGTAATAAAGAGACCTTTGATTTGGAACTGGAAAAAATGTTGCAAACCACCCAAAATTAATTTTTTTAAATTAAGAATTTAACTGTATTCCAGTTTATTAATTTATTAATTTATTAATTATTAATAAAATTAACATAACTTAAGTGGCTCTTTTACTTCACTTGCACAGTTTTGTTCAGATCTTAAAATAATTTTTCCCACAATTATATAAAAATGAAGACATAAATACAGTACAGTATTATACCCTTAATTCAGATGCTAGTGCACATGACTTTTTAACAAGTCCATCACCCAGACACCATTTTCAAAGATATACCAGCAGCATCCCATTTGCACTTTATACAAAGGGTAATAATACAAACATATAAAAAGATGTAATGGAACCCCCACAGTTAATGCAAAAGTTTGAACCAATATTCTTCATGTATAATATTTAATATAAGTGTATGGCAGTACATAATAGTAACACAATTTCCAGGATTTGGTAGTAGTAGCCTCTTACAGAATTATACTGGATCCATTATCGTTTCTGCATTAAATAAAGACATTACATTTATAATCACTGGGCCAGTTAAAATTCCCTTTTGCACTTGTACAATTAAAAAAACTGTCACAAGTGTTGCATTATGACAAAGTTAACCTGCTCTTATATGCCCAATAGGTATTATTTT